TAAGTTATATTGATAAATATAATCATAAATGCGGGAAGTTTCATAAAGCTTGAAAGTAAGAAATAGTTCTTTTTTATATTTTTTTGGTATGTGGTGTCTTGTTTTTGTTTGTTTTGTATTAACACATACCGTTTTTTATTAAATAAAATAACTCGATTACATTTTTTCAGTTGTATACAGTATTTTTCACAATATTTTGAAGTTACTTATCAGTCAAATTTTAAATACATATATTCATTTCCTGCTATGCATTCCATTTGCACCAACTTATTTCTTTGTAAAATAAAATAAACTACTTTGAAATTAAAATGACAGACACATCTATCACTGTCAAGGATCTTCTCGTTGGATAGACTATACTTGTAAGTTTTATATTAATTTTTAGTCTATTTTTGTGCCTATAGTTTTTTATTTAACTGAATAAAATCATAAGTTTTCGTGAGGCATGTGATTATTTCATTTAAATAAGAACTATTTAAGTATCTTTAATTTTAACAATGCATAAAATGGCCTCAGCCCCTGCGTTAACAAAAATGACACAATTTTAAAAAGTTTCTCTACTGTTGTCCGATAGTGTAACTGAAGTGTATATATTTTTTTATAATACTTCAATTTATTTTAATTAATATTTAACATACTAAATATAAATTTTTCGCGTTTTAACGCTTAATTAACAGCTGTCAGTTATTTTACCGGACTGTCAAAATAGATACAGCGTTAAAATCGCTATTTAATGAACTTTTCAGGCTTGAACCCTCTAAAAATCCCCCTTCGTCGAGCCTCTGAAGACTCAGGTAGACAGAAGACTACCCAGTCTGTCTAAAATTTGATGTATGCACTCAGATAACGGTACCCAAGCTGCAACGGGGCACAATAGCCACAAAAATGACCCCAAACCCTTGTGTTTTCAGGTACTATTTTACTTAGAATTCGGCAAATGTATTCAGAATTTTAGTGGAATTCATATAAAATTCAGTCGGTTATGAATCGGTAGACGTATTTTATCTTTATGGGTTGGTGACCCTTAGTTTCCAGGTCACCTTTTATTGCGAGTTATTAAATTTATAGTGCGGATATAATTTACTGAAATTGCATTTGTAAAATTAAAAATAAAATAAAACAAGTCGAAATGGGTTTCCTGGTCATAACAAGTAGGATATAAATAGGTATAAAGACTTTCATTCGTCATAGATTATAAATTCAGATAAGATCTTTGATTATAAACTTGACTACTAATTCTCTATGTAGTTTATTTCTTAAAAAAAACTATAGTTCAAGGAAATTGGTCTTCAAATACGAAGTTGTTGGTAAAAACTTAAGTTTTTGATAATTTACTTTGAAAGATCAAAAAACGAATTGTGAAAGATTTTTTTAAATTCACCCCCGAGAAGGGGTGAAATAAATAAATAAAATTATTTTTGCCAATTTATAAAGAAACGTTACTAGTTATACAAGGTGTCCCAGAAATAAGTGCAAGTATTTTAACTGGTAGTATAGTTCAACCCCAGAAGCACGCCTATGAGGTTTTTTCCTCAAATTTTTTTTTTGAAAATTCGGAATTTTTTGAAACTTTTGATTTTTTTTAGTTTTTAGTTAAAAAACATAATTTCTTGATAATATGGCAACATAGGTAGTAGATTAAATTTACAAGAAAGAAAATCCAGAAAAGATCCAGTGGTTCTCAAAATTTGAGCAAAAAATCCTTGAGCAAATTTGTTCTCTTCAAAACTCCGTTATTTTGGACATATTTGAAAAACAATAAAGAGAAAATATATTTCTTTTATCGTGATCTACTACCCCTTAAAACACTTGCACTTATTTCTGGGACACCCTGTATAATATAAAATTGAATATGTTATAATTTATACATAGAACTTTTAGAGAATTTACTAAGTTTAATCAAATTTTAACACAAGAAATAAATTTCAACAAAACCTGTCACCAACAGGAAATCTTTAGAAAACTTCATTTCTTACAACTGAATAGAGAACATAATTAAATATTGAACTGTGTTCCAATTTACCCCTTTTCCTCTAACAGTCTTGCCATACTTAAATGTTAATTAAAGAAGTAATTTTCCCAAAAAAGCCTTTTCAAAGTCCCCCTTTTACTCCTTTAAAAGCAAAGCAGAGGATCCCTATATTAGAAACCCTTTTATCGAATCCCCCTTATTTTCAATTAGCCAAATGCAAAGATCTTAAATTAGTTTGAATTCGAATATCTCACAAATTAAAAAGTTACTTAAAAAAGTTGTTTATATTTTACTTAACTTGTAATGTTTATGTGGTAGGCAAGTGATCAGTTTTAAAAATTGAAAATCATTTTCAGCTATTTACTAATCCGACTTTTTTGCAACTTTAAACATACAGTTTGAGAAACACATCTAAAACAACTGTGAGCCAACGGTAAGGAGAACGAAGTTTTCTAAAAACATGAATCCCGATTTCATTTAAAAAATATCCAGAGGCATGCAAAATCTGGACACTTAAAACGGACACTATAAAGAAACTGCAGATCGCACAATGCTCAATGGGACGAAATTATGCTGGGAATAACCAAGAAAGACCATAAAAATAGACTAGATACGACAATAGACCCAGTAATAGATGTTATCCACAGAATCAAATCCCTCAAGTGGCAATGAGGACACCTGGCAAGGACGGACAAAAGATGGATCACAAAAAGTACAGCATGGAACCCACGAGGAATTAACAGACCTAGAAGAAGACCGAACCTGAAATGGGACCATAATATTAGGAAATTAGCAACCCGCATAGCCAACAATAGACCCAACTACAAAGAGAGTACCTAAATACGTGAGCAAAGCTATACCATAATTAGAAATGGTTGAATAAGCTGAAAATGATGATGATACGACAATAACACAGCCACTGGATATTTCAATACTAGCCAATATTTCCACTATTTCCTCGGAATATCATAAAATTGGAGGTATCACTAGACAATAAAAATACGTTATGCGCATGACTACCGCCTGGCAACGAAGCGTACAAAAATCTCAACCAATCAGGTTGGTTGAATCCGAGATGGTATGATGAATTTTCCCGGCGTTGCCAACTTGCCCGAAGCGGATGATATCTTTAGGAAATATTTACCATTTTTAATAGACAAAATGAAGAAAATCTCTCAGTTAAGTGAATAAATATACATCTAACAATAACGTTAAAATACGTAACCTATTTTTATACAAATAAATACGGCCTTAGACATTACATTAATTATTGTTGGTTTTTTAACTCAATCCTTTATAACCCTTCCTAGAGCTGCCAATTTCAGAAAATGGCAGTGTTCCAAACCTAATTTATTTAAAAATTAATTTTCTGCATAATTTTTCCGATATTTTAATAGTTACTTTGCTATGTTAATGATACTAATCCAACCAATCAGAGATCATTAAAATCGGTCCAGCCGTTCTTTAGAAATGGTGTAAACCCAACGTTGTTTTGTTTACTTAAATGTTCAAAATAATGAGAAAAATACGAATTCAAATAAACTACTGTTTGTTTTATTAAAATATACAGTTCTTTCAATGTTTTCAGAATACATAACTGACCCGATCTGTCATCTTTAATAATTGGGTGACTAAAAAATTTAACTCTTCCCATTTGTTTAATTACCAAAGCCATATACATATCTTAATGATTATTGTTTTTAAAGAACGTTTTTCATTCAAACGAATTCAAATTTTACTGAATAATTTATTAATGAACGACCATTGCATATTATCACAAAATAGTAATTTTACGCCACATTTCAGGTATAATTATGCAATTTTATCTATCCAATTAACCAGACGAATTATATTAATTAAATGGTCTTTATTTATGAATGGAAATTATACTATGAAATCAAATCGTATCGGAATTTGTTTTTATAGCAATGTAAACAATAATAAATCTGGAATTTCAACAATTTTTATCGTGGATTTTTTGGAACTGGATTTTTTAAAAAGCAAATAACGATATTTTTATATAAAAAATTTAGGAATATTAGAGGTGTTTACAGCAACACTATGACATGTACTGATTTCTTTCGAAAATCGACAACTATGAAACTATGAATCCTTCCTGGTCACAAACGGTACATTGTGAGACAGGAAATTGTAGAGAGAAACAAGTTCTATAACATACGATACAACATTTTAATGAACAGTGCTTTCCATAAAATCAATAACATGAAAAATATACGAAATAATATACATGTACTGATTTCTTTCGAAAATCGACAACTATGAAACTATGAACCCTTCCTGGACACAAACGGTACATTGTGAATCCTAAAAAATTATAGCTTGTATATAGGAAGCGTTTTGACATATTAGCTTTTATGCTTGTATATTTCGGAATTTACTGTTTTTTACGAGGTACCTTTCTACGAGAGACCTAGACAGGGCCTATTTTTCATCTGGTCGGGCCCTAAGGCCCAAGCAAAAATTCGAGCCCCCTTTTCCAATAAAATTCATAAATTCAAGAAATTATGAAAATTTTACAATCTTTTAGACTAGACCACCGGGCCCAAGGCCCGGGACTTATGGTGAAATAGGCTCTGGACCTAGAGGAAGACCGAACCTCAGATGGGATCATATTAGAAAATTAGCAGCGATAACTTTGGCCCGCATAGACAACAATGACACAAATTTGTGACAATGAGCTCAACTATAAAGAGAGTATGTGAGGGAGACTGTACCATAATTGAAAATGGTTGAATAACATGATACAACGTAGTGTGGCAGATTTAATTGTAGTATAGGTAATTAGGGAATTTTATTGTCATTTTATCACTTATTTCAATAATTCAATCATATTGTAGGCTAGCTCCACACCAATATTTAATTACAGGCTCCTTTAAATGCCGCTACACACCACCATCTTAATTAGAAATTTCAGAACCGGCAGTATTTTGACCCCGCCGCCGACGAAAGTCACCTACACCCACCGCGACCCCCCTTCACCCCCTCGTAGCTAGCGAGCGACCCTTACCACCTGATTGTGTATGCTCTGCTGATTGGACATGTTCTGCAGTCCCTGCAACCCGCTGTGCATGTCCTGCCCTTGCTGCGACGACTGATGGTAACCCCACCAATTCTGTTGTTGCTGCGGCTGAGCCTGAGCAGCTTGACCACCTGCCGCAGACGAACTTAACTGACTATAGTCCACGATGCCACTATTGTAACTCGAGTCCTGTTGTCCCGTGGTCGTTCCTCCCGAGGATGAAGAGGAATTATTCTGGAACTGCCCGCTATTGGCCATTTTGTACGTGTACATTTGATTTAGGGGTGTTTGACATGCCGTACTCAGCACGGTTTCGAGGTTTTGTTGGTGCTGGGCTTGCATTTGCTGGAGCAGTTGCTGCTGCTGTTCGGCGGACCACCACATTCCTTCCGCACCCCAAGTGCTGTTCCCCGATCCGCCACCACCGCGGTTGTTCTCAGACATGGCGCGGGTCTTTATTCACGCGCAAACTCCTTCGTGACCATCAAAAACCGAAACTATTCACCGCAAAACAACGCACAATAAAAACCGGACGACCGTTACAAAACAAGCGTCGTTTTCGAGCGATTCAAATAAATACACACGCTACACGCCGCCACAGTGGTTCGGTTCTCGTATCGGATCAATTTCGGCGATGCACGCGCAGCGCAAACATTTTTCGATGGGGACGCGGCGACGGTGCTCGGCGGAGTGAATGTGGCAACACGGCGCCGAGCGAGCGGCGGCGGCCAATAGGAGCGGAGGGAGTTTGCGCGGTGGGGCGCGAAGCCGGTTCGATCCCCGCTCGGTCCCGCCAGCGAGGGGACACGGACGCTACGGTTACGAGGTTGCCGGGTTGAGTAAATTTTCCCGGTCGGGTAGGAATTTTGAACGGTATAATTTTGTGAGGGTTTTCTTTGATTTTCTGTTCGAATTTATAGTCTGTTCAACGGGAAAATCCCTGGCAGTTACCACTGTGTCTCTCTTATTTTGAATGTCGTCTCTCGAAATCTTTCACGACACGTTGGGCACACTTTAGAGTACAAATATTCGTTCAAGGTTACGTAACTATACTAACTTCAGAACCTCGTAATTAGTGGAATAAATTAGTGGTTTCAATTAGCGTAGAAGTTTGTTCCTTTAATTTCAATGTAAGCATTGAGAACATCAAAATTAGTGGTCGAAAAAGTTATCAAACTTTTAACTTTTCCACTAATTATACTTCAAAATTTGCGAGAAATGTCATTTTGGCTTTTGATTATCTTCCGTTAAGAGAAATTGTGGTTAGAAATCAAAAGTTGATTGTTTTGTAAGTTAAATAGGTATTAGGCTTGTATGGATACAACTGACTAATGCGAACTGTTGCTAGAATATTCTATTAATTTATTACATTAATTGCGAGGTTATGAATGAATTACAAACCAAACTTTGATCTGACGTTGACATGTAGCTTTGCACTTATTTCTTCTGCTCTCCCTGTGTATTTTAACTTGGAGCAAAACTATATTGGACACGGATACCAATTTATAACTGATTTTTTGTTATACTAACAAATTTGATAAAATATTAAGCATTACCATAATATCCCAGTAAATATATCCGATAAATATTGAGCATTACCATAACATCCCAGTAAATATATCCAATAAATATAACTAATTTAACAATATGTTTTTGCCCAAAAAATTGTTTTGGGGGATAAAATTTAAATCTATTTCTTAAAAATCACATATACACAAAAGAGAGACAGACAATCAATCAAGACAATGTCAAAGACAGAGACAGTCAGATAACCTAATGTCGCTGATAAGTTTTTAACAAGAATGAAACGAATTTACTTATCCACGTAGGTTATAAAATCTCAAGAGAATAATCTAAAGAATAATAATAAATTAAAAAAAATAAAGCAACGAACGAGAGCTACGTAGAATCACCAGTTCCCAATCGACTGCCAAAGTTAAGCGACGTTAAACGAGTTGGGTATTTGGACGGGTGAACAACTGAAAAAACTATACCGAAAAGCACTGCTCATTTACGGCGGATGAGATCGGATATTTCGTAAGAGCCGATATAGACTCTCGCTAAGTCGGTAGGCCAAGTTGCAAATTGTACCTTTATTAACATTGACATTTTATTTTCACAATAGAATCATACATTTCTAAATATATTTTAATTAGTTAATAAGAGAGGCTCGCTAAAATATAACACCGATACTAAATACATACTATAAATACAAAATACATACATATAAACTCATCAATCCAACTCTTTCAACAATTTAGAAATACATTATATGTATGTGCTTTAATATTTTCAAATTATACAAATTAATTTAATTTTCAAAGATTTTTCTTCAACACTATTACTGGCGGTTCGCAAAGACCGCGACGATGTGGCAACGCTGAACGGTCAATAAGAAGACCGGCTGAACGAAAAACTCCCCGAAGACGACGATGCCAGATTTCGCGAAACGCTTCAGAGAGAGAAGAGCGGACGATGGAAGCACCGTTGCCGGAGTTCACGAATTCTCCCCGCATTCGATGAATTGAAACCGAATCTAAATAAATAGAAGTTCACAGTAAACAGAAGGGTTACACAATTTATAACTCAAGAACTTCTGGACCGATTTTAATGAGCTCTTATTTTTTAGCCTTCGTCTCCGCGGCAAATACCAGAATGACTGATTAAAATATCGGAAAACTTCATAAGAAAAAATTATACAGACTTTTTTAATAAATCAGGTTTAGAATTTCGGCAACTTCCGCAACTGACAGTTCACGTCATGCACGCGTAAGGGTATTAATTGCCCGAGGTTGCTGTTTATAAATTGACGATTGTTGTCAATCGAGTTCAGTTTTTTGTCAAAAAAAAAGACGCCTTTCGCACGAATTCGGCACACGTTCGAGTAGGTTTCCATTAAAATGGAGTAACTATTAATTAAAAAGGGCTGAAGAAACACGGCAAGCGTTACTTGCATCTAAAAGTGAACCCATTTACCAAAAGGAATATAAAAAAATACCTTCAGTGGTTGGGACAGAAAAATATTGTAGTGGGGGATGTCGATGAAATTACTCAAAATATCTATTGTATTTCATGCTTGTTACCTATACAAGATAGAGGGAATTATGGTATATTCCCGTTAATAATGACCCAAGAGAATTATGATTCTATTTATGATTAGCGTAACCAAGACGATATATGCTTATATTAATTCAGTAAGAACCAAACAACTTATTTGTAAAAATAGTTATTTTTATCGACCGAAAAGATTAATTCACGAGCGATGAAATCGCGAATAAATTAATTTCGGGAGACGATAATGCAATTTTATCGTCGTGTATAGAACAATATTTTTTTCCATAGCGAGTTACGTTTTAAAAACTATTCAGAAATTATTATTTCAAGGAATTTATTGCGAGTAGAAAAAATATTGTGCTGGGTTGGCGTTGGTATCTATGTAATTTGACAAATAAATAAAGCTGCCTCTTTAGTTGTCAGTTTTGAGTCAATATTTTTTAATTCTCTTTCGTGTCGATTACTGATTGAATTGGAGCATGAAATGCTCAAAACGAAATAAGTAAATTACCAACAGATATTCAGGCTGAGGCGACAAACGCCATATCCAAACTACTTCCATTTAAATCCCGAATAACTTATGAAATGGAATACAAACATTTTCAAAAATGGAAGCAATGTAATGTCTCAAACGTGCGATAAGAAATAAAGTTTTAAACCTATCCTCGCTGTTAAAGTACTATTTCTGATAAATATAAGACAATTTTAACAGTTGCTATGGAAAAAACGGTATTAATTTAATTTGAAAATCTGAAGAAATATTTTTCTAGACGTGGCAACGCCGCGCGGCGAGGCGCGACGGAGGCTGGACGGAGAACCGGCCCCAAGAAGAACGAAAATCGGAGGAGGCACCGACATAGAAACGGCTTTCGAAATTTTATTAAAATGAGGCCGTAAGGAGAACCTCGTGTTCGGAACCGAAGAAAAGGTCGAAATTTTAAATAAAAACGATTTTTGTAGGCTATTTTTTAATATTTTTGTAATTAAACCAGCGTTGGTTGTATTTTTGGAAAATGATTAGAAAAAAGGCACTAAAGAAATTATTTTACTCTTTTTTATTGTGTCCTAGAATTATAAGATCAATTTAATTACTGTACAGGGTGTCAAAAAATAGTGTATCTAACTTCGGTGGCTGATTCTACAGATAAAATTAAAACAAAAAGTTCCTATGAACATATGCCCTAAAATGCTTTCCGAAGAAATTACAGAGCTCGACAGGTTTAATAAAAATAATATACAGGGTTCGGCAATACTGCGTCAGACCATCTGTAGCTCCTTGGGAATTTTGTTTAAGTACAAACCTAAAGTATGTACTAGAATGTATTTCAGGAAAATATTTCAAGTTCTACAGGGTGGCTCGAAAAAGTGTGAGTGGATTGGGATGATATTTTTTAAATGGAACACCCTATATATTATTTTTCAGATAAATGGAGAATTAAAAAATTAATATTTTTTGTATTTAGAGATTTCAAAATTTTTAAGGGTTCGCGGTTTTATATTTCATATGGCATTTCCCACAATAATTTTTCTCTCGTATTTTACCGTTGAAAGAGCCATATGAAATAATACTGCGTGTATCTGCGAAACCACTGAAAATTTCGAAAAACTTCAAATACAAAAAATGTTCATTTTTTAACTCTCCATCTAATAAAAAAATAATATACAGGGTGTTAAAAAATACAAGAAAAATTATTTTATATTTTAGAAAGTTTGGCGTAGAATTTTCGACACCCCGTATGATTTAAGATTACGATATTTATAGCAAAGTAAGTATAGACCATCTAAAGTAAATACCTAATATAGTTTTGATTTCAGGACAGTTTTTGTATTTGTAGTAATAAATTATTTAATGAAGGTTGAAAAATATATTATTTTTTTTTATTTATTTATTATTAACATCTCCGAAATTATCGAAATAAATTTACTCATAATTTGTATAGAAAATATACATAATAAATTTTTATAGAAAATGCTTAGACAATAATATACATAATAAATTTTTATAGAAAATGCTTAGACAATAATTATTACCTATATGATACACAGCTAAATCAATTGCCACCAATTCTCACTGGTCGAATATTCAACCGCTTATGTTAACTTTTCGCGCTAATTCGCCCAACCTATAGATATGGTTGATTAAATGGCCAAGCGGGGCATAGAAATAAGAATAGCAAACTTGGCGATAAAACACTTCCACGCGACTGATTTCGTGGTTAAATTAAAGTGGTCGATTTAGCGACCATCAACCTATAAAGAGTTACGGTTGGCATTAGAATTCATAGACACTAAAGTGTTTTGGCATACTATGGTAAATTTGTAGCACTTTGTAGAAACTTTATCTGCAGTAAACGACAAGACTCGAGAAGGTGCATTTGCGAAGGGCTGCGGGATTTTGATGGTTGAATGAAACAGATTATTACAGTTGAGAGTTGGAACCTTTGGTGTTACACAGCAAAATAAAAACACTAAATCACCACAATACACCAAAACACTTTTACTTTTACACTGGACGCGCGTTTCGCTAACCATGTTAGCATCATCAGCAGCAGATGATTATAAACTAAAGTACAATCTACAAGTTGAGCGTTTATATACTCGCTCAGTGGGTACCGAGTGGGCGTGGCA